ACATAACAAGATGAATCATCTCAGAATAATATTCTTACCGTGCAACTTATTTCTTCTAATGATCACTGAACCCTGGTTTATTGCCAGTACTTGTGAGATGGAAATCTCGGTTGTTAAGTATTAGTTATTTAAGAGTGGTAGACGTTAAGATCAATATGATGGCTGAACTTTGTGTATTAGGTGGGAAATCACTGCAGAACAGCTTCCAATCATAGATTTTTGGAAAGTTGGTGTCTGTGTACTGAGGTTAGTGCAAGACATCCTCATGCCATTTCTTTTGTAGGATGCATTTACCCGTTGCACTGTTTTACGATTATAAGCAAGAAAGCACCTCAGTGATAAAGTCTCTGATTGCAGCGCTGGATGAAGTAGGTTCGAATCTAAGCTCAGGACTTACTGTCAAACGACTTCAACCAACTAACAAACAGTCTCAGTGGACTGTAGTGGAAAATCCACCACCTCAGTGACCACTGTGAGGAATGATCAATGAAATTCAGCCAGCAAGGCTAGAAAACACAAGCGGGTCACGCTGCAATGCGCAACTAATGTGGCTGGTAGGAATGTTTACTCATGTGGTAGCACTATCACAAACAACTGAGAACATATGCGGTAAGTTTAATACGTCTAACTGGGAAGTTACGTCTCTCTTTATGTAGATAGGAATGCATGTGAGTATTCTGGCAAAAACAGTCAGGTAGTACTTGAGTTCAATGGAAGTTTTGTAACTCCTTCAAATAAGGTGTGATTCGGATGCACAAATTATTTGCCCCTTCAGCTTCCTTGAATACATCACTTTTCAAATGTGTACAATAATATTACCAAAGGAATTTGTCAAAAATATCTGTTTAGTACTGGCTTTAGAATGATTATTGTATTAAATTGATCAAAAAATGGGGTTTCTCAGTACGCAACAAGGTCTTGATGGAGGTAGTAAGTACCCTTTAGGCCTCCATGGTGACCTAAATGGAAATTAAGATTTTAAGTCATCGGCTGACAGAGTAGAAATACTTCAGCTTTAAATTTATTCTGTAGTATTCCAGGTGTGAAATATTCGGAAAAGTGGGACTGTGGAAAAGACTTCAGAAAAATCAGACTGCTTTTCACCACCTTGTTCACAAAATGCTAGATATCACTGCTGAGTCAGCTTCATACCCATATGTATTCCCATACTACAGACCAAGCACGGCTAATACTCTCCCCATAAGGAAGACTAACATAAGTCTGCGTAAAGACGTCCTACTGTTCGTCATTCCACACTTTGGAATAGGATTCCCTTCTTTATTTGGTGCGGCAGCTTCATAAATCGGTTCAGGAGCTACATCGATGACTGGATGATGACGGTCCGTATGGTCTCGTAAATAGTGATTCACATAAATGACGTGTGTAGGCTCAATTATGCCTAAATATAAGTTTTTGAATTTCAGCCTCATGATTCATTCTCCAAGGCTGACTTATTATTCATGCGATTGGTAGCTGTACCTTATGAGTCTAAGCGTAGCCTTTTTAATTGCGTGCAGCTGCTTCTTTGTCCGTTTCGTATTTTAAGAAACTGAGATGAAACGAATGGCTCATTTATCCATTCACTCCTTCACTATACAAGAGGTACTAGGTAAGATAGGCGAGCTGGTCAATAAAGTTGGGAGCCTTCAACGATCAAGATGGCTTGGAGAAATGTTGAGCAAGCCGACAAACCACCTACCTCAATGTGTAAAAACTGACCGAAGCAGCATCGGACCTGAGGATGCCTTGAGGTAGCCTCGACAACATCAACCTTTCTGCAACGTAGTCTTGTGACAGAGTCTCATTCGACTTGGGGTCTTTATCAGACATAGATACTATACGACTGACCAATTCAAATGTTGCATGACTTTGAATTGTTTTGATGTGGACTTTATCTTCATTGCATCACCATTGAAATGGCAGCATTCAGAGGTTAAATTGTTTGTTGGCTGCAACGTGCCTACGACCCAGTCGAAAAAAGAAACTTGGGAAAGAAGATCCATCTACTACAAGGACACCGCTTGGTCGGATGTTGAAAAGTTTCGTGTTGCAGCGATCTGTTTCGGATCCGGCTGGAAAACGCGATTTGAATTTGGGGACAATGTCAATGAGAAAAAACAGAAAGTTCATTTAACTGGGTCTCACTAGACCCAGTTAGTGAAAAGGTCCTGGGAAGAGATCAGCGCAGATGAAACCAATGAAACATAGTGAGGGAAATCTAGTTACCAAAGAGGGAAAACAAAGGAAACAATGGGCTGACCACTTCAAAAGACTCTTGAGTCGACCACCACCCGCACCTCTTCCGGAAATACCACCAGCAGCGGCGAGTTTGGCGTCTGAGGGGGACATGGAGATTATGAGAGGAAGAAATGAAAGCTTCTGGGCAGTCGTGGTGCAAGGTTGAAATGACTGCAGACCGCAGAGCGCAATAGAGACGTGCTACTGAAGCCCTACGTTCCACTAGAAACCCAAGGGAAAAATAATAATGATAATAATAATGAAAAGGTCCTGGTCAGTTGGAGACGGTAAGGCCACCCCCTCTGTGAATGAAAACGGACACTTCTTTGGCATTAATGTCAAGATGTAACGAGAAGGTTGTCTCTAACCTTCAAATGTAGCTGAATCCTGCTATGTTGTCTGGGAAACGGTTAGGAATGGTGTAAAAAGAGTAAGGGTGGCTCAGGCAACATTTCTGGCACATTTTATGAATTTGATGTCTGGTATTCGTGACGAATACAAGAATGATGACAAGTCAAATCACACGCGGTAACCAGTTGCGCCATGTTGTACCCAAGCTGAGCCTCGTGGATCTAACCTCAGAGGGTGTTGTCAGTCTAGCCGCGCTTCGAAACCAGTGGTGGAAGGGACCGAATTTTCTTTAAGAGCCCGCACTTATATGGCCGTGGACGGAAGATGAGTAAACACACTTTAGTGTTGAATGGAACTTTAGAGCGAATTTCACACATTGGGATCGCATGGCCTCTAGTAGTTTGCCTGTTTCCTTCGTTACAATATGGATAAGACCCCCAGGATACATCCACTGCTTAATTCAGGTCAGGGGCTTTTAGTTCTATTGGTCTAGTTACTGATAATTTTTTTGGGCTGAGGCCGCTGACGAGCCTGTTAGCTGTGAAAGGCTTCTTCATGTTAGGCCCGAGCTCTTAACAAATGACACCGACCAGCATTCTGTCATTTTCATTCGAAAATCGGTGCCGAAGATGAGGAGGTTAATTTGAACTTTTGTAACTCGTACATTCACAATGAATACTAAATAGAAACTCTGCTATCCAACTATGCCATGAGGGATCCTGTTCAAGCGTAGATTTGTCACATCTTTGTTTTCCGGTGCCATGTATCTCAGTGGCAAGGTTCGACTGAGAAATTCATTTCCTTTTCCCGAAGAATTGACCACCCACCCCTTCGTTTTACATTTTCGGGTGTAGAGTTTCTGAATCACCGAGCGTCTGCTACCACTGACACTGTGGTAGTCACCAAGGCAAAATGTCAATGAGACTGTCCCTGATTACGGTAACCCTGACCTTAACTTTCAGCAACCATACCAAGTTACAAAGTTGTGCTTCCCAGCGAATCAGCGAAAGAAGAGAACTTAATGAGAGACCAGAGTTTGGTGAAGATCACAATGATCCCAGAGTTTCGTATCTCCGAATAAACTGTCGGTTTATCAACCTTTACTACTTTATCAATGTTCAGCTTTTGAATTTCGTGCAACCCCAGAAACCTTTTAGCCTATTGCTGGATTCCTCCAATCTAACCTGTAGCTCCTTGCTAACTGAAGGTAACAGAGCGAAGATACCGGAGAAAAAGTCTACGGCACTTGCGTTTGACAATGCCTTGAACCACTGTTTGACATTAACAATGGCTTCATTCTGTTGGTACTTCGAGAATACTTAACACACCATTTATGTCACGCTCAGGCAATTGTTGCGGTAGCAACTTGTCAAGGACGTCAATCACTAATTATTCGTACTTGTTATATACCCACGAACACGTGAACAAGGAAGAACACGACAGCGTAGTCAGATCGAATAGTTTATTTGCGAGGTCGTGCCAAAATACCGGTGAGTTCCACCTAACTGACTAGAGGGTCGATTACAAGCAGTGCAACGCAACATGACAGCATGCCTAATGGCGTGGATGCTTGGCTGTGGGCATTCAGTGCAGCGAGTCTGATAAAACCATAGAGGTGGGTATCAATGCTGAATCTCGTCGAACCCTGGAGTATTGATTCTGGAGAAGTATGTGACTCTACACAGCTGGAACATGACTGAAGTGCTTGACATCTTTAGGAGTGAAGAAGTTATCCCTTTCAATATCCAATGTTGGTAGTGCGAGAGTAGCAAACTGATGGGTTTTGATCTCTCGCGTCTAGTTCATGGGGCTTGGTTCGAGTTGTTCGACCCATGTCCAAACACAAAACACTGAACAGCCTTTGTCGTATTTTGCTGATAAAAAGTAAAATAATAAACCTAAAATGAGGAGAAACAATAACTGGGAACTCTGAACTTGGAGATTCTAGATGCAAAAGGAACTTACCTTCTACGATAACCCAGTTATTTTACAACAAGTATGACCACAACTATTGATGTTCATCTCTAATACTTCTCCGATTCATCCCCAAAACCTGAACACATAATGGTTTGGCTTCATGCCCATAACTGGTTTGAGTATTTTTGCACTAAAGTTTATGGAGAAAATGAATCAGTGAGCCTTCAGTGTACTGACATTCAAGCAGGCACATTTAGGTGTATTGATAGCCAAATGCTGAGTGATGCCATTTCCTACCACCATAATGTAGTACAAAAAAGGATCATCAAGGCCTAGAAGTGACAGCTCCAAAAATACAAGTTTCCTTTCCTCACACTATCAATGTTGATGTTGAATGTTTTAGTGCACTACAACTGAAGGTCGACGTATGTTAAAATCTCAAATTATGTATAGTGTTGGCAAAACGCTTCAGACTGAAATTTGAATGACTTCCCATGGGCTTGTGCAAGTGTGAACGAAGGCGAGTAACGAATCTGTTTTGTTTTGAACACCGGGTTAACGTATGCGAATTTTGTTTGGTGGCAAATCATAATAAGGTATGAAGATGGTTGATGTTTTCCACTGTGACAGTGCATTGTTAAATCTTATCTAAGGTGGATAAAAGACAGTGATTTCAACCCATCATGTTGCATATGCCACGAACCCTTCGAGGCTGATTCTTCCAAGAAATGTGTTCGTCTGGTGTGTTTAGGTTTGTAAAGTTTTGGGCAATTATTTTCTAGATATTTTCCACTGGGATTGTCTGAACAAGTACGTGTTGAGCCTTCCACCTACGACAACCCCTGCCGGTTTTTTGTGTCCACTGTGTGGTCATCCAATTATTCCTCAGGCGAACCATGGCGGACCTGTCGCGGAAGCACTTCGGACGTGTCTTAGTGAAGTTGATTGGGCAAAAGGAAGCCTGAATGAAATAAGGACCCACTTCGCCTTCGAATCATACCAGAATTCCACTCCATCGCCTTCAAGTTTGTGCATCCCCGTTCATAGTGAGTTCCTGATTTTGCCAGTTTCACTAAATCACTGATCATAAATTTTGTCTTTCAAGTGAAGAAAATCCTACCCTTCTCTATCTACAGATTACTCGTTCCACAAAAAATGCAATTGATCCCAACTGATGGATTTGGATGTTATTGCCCAGCAGTACTGTAATCCTTGACATTTCTTGGTCACTTGATCACATCGGCATAATGTTTAATGATTTGTGAAACCACGGAATACGTCCTATACTGCCAAGACAACGGTGGTCAAACACCTGAAGCCTTCACATATCTTCCACATTCACTGGCCATGTTTCACAACCATACAGTGGAACAGAGCAAACTGCTGTGCAGTACCTGCGACCCTGAATAGACAATCGGATATTACGGCGGCGCCATAGGTGGCGTAAGTTGGCAAAAGCCCACCGAGCCTTTTGTATCCGTACAGAGATTTCATCGGCCACTGAGCCACCAGGGTTGATCCTACTTCCCAGGTATGTGAAGTGGTCGACACACTCAACCGCTACACTTTCTATTGTTAGCCGAGGCACTGTTGAAGATCAATTGTGGAGCAACAATTTGCATTTGGGTGGTGAGAAACGCATCCCAATCATTTTCGAATTGCCACTCAAAGTGTTCAGAAGACTCTGCATCTTGTCGGGGTCTTCACCTAACAGGACTATGTCATCTGCGTATTCTAGGTCTAATGAAAATTCTCCACCGATTAGGTCAACCTCTGTGTAATCAAGTGACGAGAGTGAGACCTCCATGAGAATATCTCTGATGAAATTGAATAAGAATAGAGACAGTGGGTACCCTTGACGGACACCACTTGATGAGCACAGCTCCCTGGACATTTTAACATAGGCTCTAACATGCCCACAAGTGTTCGAGTAGAGAGCCTTCAATAAAGTGATGTACTTACTCGGCACGCCTTTCAGTGAGAGACATAGCCGTTTGACTTCTCGATCAACGGAGTCGAATGCCGCCTTCAGGTCGAGAAATACAGCCAGTGTCGGGCATCGATAAGCATGTCTATGTTCCAGAACCTGGTGCAGTGTGAATATTTGGTCGATACACCCTCGGCTGGGTCTAAATCCTGCCTGGTTTTCTCGTGTTTTCTCTTCCCGAGCCCCGCTCAGACGTCGGAGAATTATCGAACCTAGGATCTTGGATACTGTTCTTCAGGCTGATTCCTGTGTGTTTATCACAAGAGGACTTCTCACCTTCCTTGAAGACTGGGATAATCAGTGACTTAGATCAGTCAGAGGGGATCGTATTTGATCCCCTTATACTGGTTAACACTTCCATTGACCTGACTAGGAACACCTTACCACCATTCTTGTATACCTCAGGAGTTAGTCAGTCTAGTCCTGCTGCCCTTCCTCGTTTCAGGTTACCTACTGCTTTTTCGACTTCTGCTAGTGTTGGGGGGGGCTATTTCAACGTTCCATCCAGGATCCGACTGGATAGCGGGCATCGTTATGGTGGTTGGAGGTCAGTTAAACTGTTCCTTGAAGTGTTCTGCCCATCGTTCCAGTCGTCTCCTTTACGAGTAAATCACAGATCCGTCCTCCGCTATAGTCTCACTAACTGTTGTTGACTTTTTCCCCCAGTTTCCTTGATAAGTCTAAATAACTATCTACTGTGACCAATCGCTGCTGCCTTTTCCATCTCTTTAGACTTCGCTGCTCACCACTGTTCGCGTTCGTTGCGTAGACTTTTTCTCAATGTACTTTTAAGTTGCGCTCGCTCTTCTTTGTACTTAGAGCCTGCAGGGATGCGTTCACGTGCATCCATCAGTTTAGAAGAAGCTACTAATATCCACTGGCTCTTTTTAGCCACTCTTTCGGAGTCGGCTACAGTCTTCAATGCTGTTTCTACAGCAGACTGGAGATATCACCAAGCTTCTGGATGAGTGACAGTCTTTTGTTCCGATAACTGCCTAGCCAACTTCTCACTGAACACGGCTTTGGTGTTTTCGTTGTCCAGCAGAACTCGTAGTGGTTTTGTTGCCAATTTTTTTCTACGTCCATTGAGACGCAGGCATATACGCGCTCAGACCAACTTGTGGCCGCTATCCGAACACATGCTCCACCGATCCTCCGCAGCGATGACTAATAGCAATGTGGTCTATCTGTGTCCATCGCTGAGTCGAGCTCGGTGGACGCCAGGTCAGACAGTGCCTTTCTTTATGTCTGAAATTTGTGCTGGCTAAAAATAGGCGGTTATCTGAGCATAGTTGTAATAGGCGATCACCGTTATCTGTACGTTCAGCTGGGATTCCGAAAGTGCCACCTAAGTGCCTTTCTGCCTCACTCAGTCTACCCACCTGTGCGTTGAGGTCACCTGCAACAACCACTACGTCCGAACGTTTGGCTTTCGAGAGGAGGTTAGACAGTTTATGGTAGAACTCGTCCTTCACTTCATCCGAACTACAGTCAGTGGGTGCGTAAGCAGAGATTACAAAGAGACAACGGCGAGTCTCACTATTCCTTTTAGTTCTCACTGTGCCGTTCAGCCTCATAGCGCAGAGGCGACTATCAACTGGGATCCAGTCTAGTAGTGAGTTTTCTGCCCTGGTGCTTAATGCTATACCTACACCTGCAAGACCACGAGAGCTAGCTATCGAATCTCCAGAAACTCGAAGGGTGAATTTTGCAGATTCACCAGATTGGTCAGGAGAGGTCAGGTGAATAACCACACTTGGGTCCTGTATGCGTGTCTCACAAACACAGCACACATCCATGCCCGAGTTGCTAGAGTCTTTGCCAACGAAGCCTGTTGGCCAATTTGACGGAGGGTGCGGACATTGAAGGCTCCAATATGTAATTTGGAGCGTGGTTTAAGGAGACCAGGGACGCTGTTCTGTGGACTCAGATCGTTGTCGAAGGCTGCAGAGGTAGGAGAAATTGAAGATGATGCAGCATCATTAATTAAGAGACGTGAAGGAAGATTAGAAGGTAATGATGGAGGAGGAGGATAGCAGTCAGAAGAAACTTGGGTGCTGACAGAGTTGTGAGGGCGGTTGACACTTCCCGGCTGCCCACACCGTGGAAGGCTATTTCTTCTTAAGGTACCTGAAAGAGATTTGTGTGACCGCAGAGCCCATCGCATCCCACCGGAAGGCCTGTCACACCCAGCCTTTTGAGTATGATTATTTTGAATTTTTGTATTTTTGGGGCCGGATGAGCGAAAGGAAACGACAAGTGAACCAACACCGCCGGCCCGGCAGACCGTGGGGCGTGGTGGAGTGTGTTATTTTTGGGGCCGACCTTTTCTAACCCCCCCTTCCACTGAGAAGGCAGCATCAGCTTGGCACTGCTGGTCATCCAAGGGAAACACCTTACTGCTGTCACACCCCATCCAGCTAGCAGCAGTACGACTTCGCCCTCAGACCCCCATCATAGTGTAGCAATTTACACTATAACGGTAACTGCTTTTCGTCTAACCACTACCCAACAGACCTTTCTGGTATGGTAGGACCTCGAGGGAACAAGCGTTCCACCAGCATAGCTCGTTGGGTCATTGTGATATGCAAGCCCGACCACCACGTCAAGGTAGCAGCTATCGCTAGATAATCTGTTGAACAACCTTGTACAATTCATTGTCACGTCATTCGTCTCTGGGCTTATTGCATTGAAGCTAAACACCTTTGCAGCTCAACAGCGTTTCCAAGATTTTCAGTTTTTACTCAGGTGATAGTGTATGCTACAGGACGTTATTGTCTTTACCTGACTTCATACCAAATCAGTCTACGCTTGGTACAGTCATAAAATGGGGATTTATGTTTTATGGTTACTATTTGCGTTTCATGAAATTAGACAGCAGTCCATTTCGAATACCCTCTATTCATCTTGGTTTATTCACATAGCTTCTCTTCAGCATTTCTGGTGACTGTTTTACTTCAGTTGCATTCAGGTACTCTATTGTGTATGTAGGATGCTGTAATGAATCCGGATACTCTATCAACTGTCTTTTTTGATCAGTGCATTACGTGGCTGAATTTATTGTAAATATATTTTATAAAACCACATGTTTATCACTTGGTCATGCTTTTAATATATGCACTTCGATTTTAGATGCAATGGATGGTAAACTCTTCGATCCACTTTTAGATTTAGCAGCCAAACAATTTCTTAAAGGTCGTGATGTGACAGATATTTTGGAAACGGCTCAGAAAACGCCGGAAAACCGGATAGATACTTCATCAAGTGACACTAATATGTATAGAAATAAATCCCAGACGCACTACCAACTCAGAGAAGAACCTTTATTGTCTTCTTCAAGTCTGTTTTTATCCTCAGAAAATGATGATAATGATAAATATAAGCGACACCGGACGTTAATGTGGTTTAAACGCTTTCTGAGGTAAAAGCCTAATCCGATTTTACTTTTGATTATTCTCTTATACTTTTTTTTTCCACACCTGTTGTTTGAGCTAAAGATAATACTGGTTTTTAAACTTTCATGGATAGAGCAACATTTAAGAGTTGTCACCTACATGATTGGGTGGTTTTTTAGTGAATTTTGTATTTGTAACACACTTCCTACAACATCATGCACCACATGACCTAATGTAACAGTGCTGTAAAAATAAAATCGAGTAGGTAGGACAAAAAAATGAGAGGAGGGATCAGGCAGTCGGCCTTATAAGATGCCTTTAAGATATCTCCCATTGTAACTGTGCTATTTTTCACAAGTAGAGAACTCAAGAAAAACGCTACGTGCTCACCACTGATTTTAATTATGAAGTGTATTTGATGTATTTGAAGCTGCTTACTTGTCTAATCAGGGAGTCTCGAAGCATTAGTAGATGCCAGGCTAGCCTAACTAGCTTTCATCCCATAGACCATTTCAAGCACTAATCATTTCTCTTCTTTCAACTGGTTCCAAGACAGCAAACTAAGTCACTTGAGATCCACCAAGATGACTTTTGATATACATCATACCCAAAAATGCGCTACCGCACCTCAGAATTACCTACATATTAGTTTTATTTCATGCAAACAATCCTCGGAAGACAACGGTGAACAGATACAAAGTTGTCGGTTGTCTTCAGCTCAAGCAGGCCTTGTGTTGCTCGTTTAGGGGAAGACTGCTTGCACTGACTCGTTGTATACCCAACCTTTAACAGTCAGTTGAGAGTGCCAACTGTGACTCAGGTATAGTTATGATGCTCTAGCTTTCAATATGAGATTTGAAATGTCATCACTTGATTTTACCTAATTGGTTGGTACTTAGCTTACTGGAGGTTATCACTTATAAGCCCTTGGATTCTCATCTGTGATGACAAAAGACAGACAGAATCAATGCAAAATCTTGCACACAAGTGCATCAGTTCAAGTTGCCGCACTCTACAGTAGTGTACAGAAAAGGTGACCTAAAAGTAGACAAAGTTGTGTGTCAATAAACAGTTTGAAGATAAAGGTTAATGAGGTAATTCAAATTTCAGAAGGCATCAAATAGTGAATATATCTGCACCATTTTGACCGACTTTCAGCCATGTCACCAAGAGTCCTCAATCACTGATTCCTATCGCCTTGGGGCCTCCGGCCAGACAATATACATTTCCTCACATGACTTAGGCCAATAGTCAGTGACTTTACCGACTGGTGCCACGTCTTGGTCTAGCCGCCGGGAACCCTCTTGCAACCTAACTCAACTTCCCTTGGCATGGCGCATCGAGGTAGGCGGCGGCTCAGCATTCACAGTACATGTCCAAGTTATTTTAGTCGAGTAAGTTCACAACCTCATCAACCGACTTGCATGTCTTACCTTGTACCCTTCGCCCAACCTCAGCACTACTCACACTATGATTTCACCAAACGCGAACAATGCTGCAGAGACATGTGATTAAAAACCTTGTAACCGCTTCGTGTCTTCTACTTTTAACGGCCATGTCTCACAGCCGTACAAGAGGACAGAACGGAGTGTGGTGCAATATACTCGTTCCTTGGTAAGCAGTTGGATATCTCGCTAATCGACCCTATAAGTGGCAAATTTCGAACGGGCCTTTTGTATACGAGCTGAAGTCTCGTCAGCACTCAGGCTGTTCGTGCTGATGCTGCTCCCCAAGTAAGTAAACTAGTCGACATATTCCACCACTTCATTCCGTATCATTAATCTGGGAGCATTTGCAGATCAGTCCCGGGGCATCATCCTTCATTCGACATGTCCATAACGCTTTCAGAACATACTCAGATTTCTGCTGAGTGTGTTCAGAAGATCCGGATTTTGTCAGCGTCTTCACCTAACAGGGTAATATCGTCTGCATACCCCAAGTCAACTAGACGACCTCCAGGGAGTAGATCAACCCATGTGAAGTTAGAGCTGCCTAAGGCTGTGTCTATTAGTACGTCTATGACGAACGGTGACAGTGGGCATCCCTAGTATAGACCACTGTTTGCTGTCAATTCTAAAGACAACTCTCCATAAGCCCTTACACAGCTGCATAAGTTTGAGTAGAAAGCTTTGATTAGGGTTGTATGCTTACTAGGCAATCCATTCACAGTCAGACAGTGCCACAACACATGGTCGACAGAGTCAAATGCCGCCTTTATGTCGATAAATATGCCAATTTTGGCCTTTGGTAGGTAGGTATGCCTGCGTTCCAGAACCTATCAGAGAATGGAAATATAATAGATGCACCCTAGTCCAGATCTATCTGAAACCTGCCTGGTTTTCTCCAGGTTGCTGTTCTCGAGCTTCATTTATGCATTGGTTAACTATGTACCCTAGTCAAACTAGTTCCCCCATGGTTGTCACAGGAAGATTTATCTCCCTTCCTATAGACTGGGATGGTCAGTGAAGTATACCAGTCTGACGGCACTACCTCTGATTCCCGTACACTACCTACTGCCTCTGTCACCTTAATTAGCCACTTCCTACCTCCATATAACAAAGATTTTGTGTTTACAATCATTTCAGCCTTATTGCTAGCGTCAAGCAATGGATTTTTAGCTATCATTTTAGTTGAAAATTCAAACTCCGTTCTGACACGAACTTCCTCTCTAAGCTGCTGGCCACACGTATTGAGATGGTGATATTTCGTGATTGTCTGTACCTTTTAGGATGAACAAGATTTGAATCTGTGAATAACTCATTAAAAGTTTTATATCTAATCCCACAATCCACCAATATGTTGTATGTGATATGGGCAATTTAAGTAAATACGCCGTCATCTTAGTCTAGTGGTATCATCATTCATTTGCGATTTGATTGAAAGCTTTTCTGCCGTCCAACGTTCTATCTTCAACAGCTGATAAGCAGTTCTGACTTCATACAATGCCCTATTCTGTATTGTTAAGCTTTACTATTGAACTATCCAAAGCACTTGCTGCTTTGTTGTGTGAATTTTCATGGATGTTTTACAAGTTCAACTTTAGACAATCGAAGGTGTTTTATGGTTTGTTACATCACCATTTCATGAAATTATTTAGTCATTTTGATTTTAAAATCTTTTGATGCTCTATAGTTACTACTATTTTATCTTGAGATTATACTAACCACGTTAGAATGTATTTCTGAAAAGCTGATCAACTACTTGGCTTTGTATATATGCGTCTCGTAAGCACTTAAAGCACTTCAGTGACACGGATTTTCTCTTCTTTGAATATGAATTGATAATGAAGTATTTGAAATTTAGTTGACTTCGTATTCTGTAGTCAAATATATTATGATTATATTTACACTCATAGCTGCAACATTAAGTTTTTAATCGAATGAGAATGGTTGGTGAAGGTTCCCTAATTTCAGAAGTAAATTTTGGTTTGTATGCACTATCAAGAATGAAAAGCACTAGCCATGAGTGTGTGCATCTTTATACTTAGGTCGTCCCAATACATGTTAGGCAATTTTCATTTGAAAGCTGAAAAGCGTTACTGATAACTTTAGATGATTCGCCTTATGATTGTTCTAGGGGCTTTTACTTTTCCACATTTAAGTAGTACTGAAACTATACAGCGGATACAGAAGTGAATTTGAATAACTTTCAAAATTGGACTATTACGCGTGAGAATTACGTGTCTGACAGAAGTCGTGGACAAGGCTGTGATGGGAGGTAATAGTTGAGTTTACGCTATGATCTCATATATATATATATATATATATATATATATATATATATATATATATATATATATATATATATATATATATATATATATATATATATATATATATATATATATATATATATATAGTCTTTTTTACACACCTGCTGTCATATAACCTTTTTTATTTTCAAGGCGTTGGTTGACAATGAAAAGTGAAGTATGAAACTTGTTGTTCAATCGTCCACAAGTATACATTTCAGCATATCACGTTAAGGGAAAGCTATGGTTCATTGGTTTAGGGAGTAGACTTTCAACCGTTAGATCATGTGTTCAAGCCCGTTCCACCTACGGAGGTTTAGGCAGTCGGGTAGTAACAGCCTCCACAATAGGTTTGACCCATTGCCTGCCGCACAAATATGAACAAGGCACTTTGATTTTTTCGATATCACAGTATATCAGCAACAACTTCTGGATTAAAATAAATAGATCGGAGGACAGCTTCTAATATCATATGGAATATTGAGTTTCATTTTAAAACTCATGTTTACATTCCTAAAACATTTCGATTATACTATAAATTGATGGCTGTCTCTAGCAAACCACTGACTACTACTACTACTACGTTTACTGAACGCATAACAAGTTTCCATGCAATACTGCTTATATTTTTATTAACTTCAGGGTCAAAATTTGACCTTACTATCTAAACAGTCGACAACTTGTAGAAGTTTTATTTTCTGAAAAAGCGGTTTTACATAAAATCATGAAACGTCAGAAATTTATTTTCCTACCTCATTGGGATTTTACAAATATATTTCATTTATAATACTGTATATGATTTATGGTAATACCTTTTATTATATGTGGAGTAATTATTCAAAATTTATAAGGAGTATGGTTTCAATCCTTTGTAACACAGGAAATATATCCCACAATCTGAGAAACTATGAACTTATCATACTTAAAAGGATTCAGTAGTGCACGCTAGGTGCATAAAGCTCTTAACCTCTTCGTTATACCTGAAAAAGTTTTATCCTTCATCAGCTCCAGATCCAAAGTAATGATTCTTTCTGGGGGTTAGAGAGAGCACATTCATATTCGTCCCTTACTTGTCGCAGAAAATAGAGAACACCAAGTCCTGTCTATGTCTGACTAAAAAATTAGGGCGTCAAATGTGCGTTTAGAGAGGGAATGTTTCTGAATGTGACATTACTTCTCTTCCTGGTGAAGCCTGACGTAACTTTCATTTTGCTGTAGAAGGAGGTTAGGACAGTTGAAAACTTACATGTAAAAGTTGGCAAAAGCCACTAAATTTCATGAGTCTCATTTAAACTGGTGGATACGAGAGGAGTCACTCCAACTCTGACTATAATGAGAGGCGAAAGATGCCCCAACGTAAGTTCACTCGAAGTCTTTGCAGTGACTGCTATCAGAGGTGGGTGGCGCAAGAGACGGAAAGGGCATCAGCATTACGGATAAGGATAATAGCAAGAAGATGATGGTCAGTGAGAACATTGCCAAAAAGAATGGCTCCGTGATGACCTCTCAAAACAGATGTCGACAACTTTAGACAGAACACTTTGAATCACGGTTCAACTGGCATAAAATCACGCTTCAATTGTTCAGCATCAAGTTCGAACCCGAATGGGATAAGGATGTCGGGCCTTTAACTCTCCAAAGTTGAGAGGGCTGTCTCAGACCATAAGCGACGCACCCTTCGACAGATTCTAGAACACGTGTGTAATTATCGGCGGTCGATACTTGCAATATTTGTTGGCATAAAGGCGGTATTTGACTTTATCGACCTACAGGTGTTGTGGCAGGGTCTGATTTTGAAGGGAGTCCCCAAAAAGCGTGTAGGACTGATCAAAGGCTACCTACTCAAACTCAAGCAGCTGTGTAATGATGAGTCGTCATGTAAAGCAGCGAGGACCAGTAATGTCTGTCAGGAATGCCTGCTGTTTAACTTTGTTTTACAGGTACTAATGGTGATAACCCCTGTTAACTGCAACTTTACAGACAGTGATTTACTCTCAAGAGAGTACGTGGTTGATTCGTAGTACTCAGACAACAGTGTCTTGTTAGGTAAATATATGAAATATAGATTCTTCTGAAAGCTCTTAACAGAAATCTATGTTTGACTGTCATCTAGCACCTGTCGAATGTAGAATAATACTTCAAAACTGATCTGCAGCTATTCCCAGTTTAAGCACAGGGACTGAAGTGGTCGGAAGTGTTGATCACTTCACCTACTCGGGGAGTTGGATCAGCCTGAATAGATTGGTGGCTGACGAAATCTCAGACCGGATACAAAGACGCTTTCGGTAGTCGCCAACTCATACAGGTGTTGGTAAGACCTCCGAACACATATAAAAGGGTGAACATATTGTTCTGGAGTCCTCTGCGTTCTGTTATAAGGCTAAGAAGGATACTGTTATCAAAATTTGGTATAAAGAGGTGACTAGTTATCACAAGTTTCTTCACACCAGTGTTCATGTATGGTGGTTAATGTTGAGCTTAGGTGAGGGGTACTAGGGAAGTCAGTCTGTGATGACGAGATTCTAGATCGATTTTCTTGTGTGCAATCTCTCTGTGCAATTTCATCAAACAGCTTGACCTGATAACTTTGTACGAATCCTCTTGGAAATCGTTATGATTGTTGTTGAAGTGTTGATAGTCAGCAGTTTTCTCATTACTCAATTCTTGTTTCATTTCTGTCTTTTGACTTCTTAATTTCTTTTTTCTACTATCAATTAGTGTTTCAACTTAAACTGTTTTACTTTTGTATCGAACCCTACCTCATTTTATCGATTTGCCTATGTTATTTTGTGTCTCATAGGGGTGTGTGCGGCTGTTTGCAGTACAGTACACTTCTGTATAACCGTCCAGGTTGATTATATAAGCATTGTTTCTGTCTGGTATGAAAAGTTTGTTTTGAATTTGCTATACATGAAGGTTTGCTCAGTAACTCTTAGTAATCTTTTCAATGAATAGTTGATATGAGCTGAATGGATTTAATATGTACGCAAATGTACTGATTTCTGTTTTATTTTATAGAATATTGTTTTGAACAAACTGACTTCACTGCTAAGTCCATGTTCGATATCATTATGGTTAATGCTTTTGTTATTTTCTTGTACTATAGGGGATATTCACAAAAGTTTCCACGTCTCTCAGTTATTCGCCGACATCGTACTGTTATACTAATTATGGCCTGTATTATCTTCATATTTCTACTTGGCTTTTATGGTTCACAGCCGAAAGATATTATTGGTGACCGTTGTTGGATCCACATATGAATCCCAACATTCATTTTAATCTTGAGCCTGACGATTCATTGAAGGTTGTGTTGGATAATAAGCATGCTAATGGTGGTGATAGACATGTAATTGGTGGTTTAAAGGAAGCCTGATCACTTTATTATCTCAACTACAAGTGACCGGTCTCGATTACTAAATGATGAATATTTTGCTCTTATTTTTTATGAGACGGCATAAGTATTATCCCGTTTTTTCCCTTAATATTTTCTTACTCTTCGTTTTGTATCTCCTGGGAAAGCGTATGTTACTGTAACTACAGTATCTTAAGACTTTGAATAAAGAATATTTTACTTGATGAATTAATCGTATGTAGTATAACTACGTCTGAATGTTAATGTAAGCAGTTCATGTTAGTCAACTGACTTTCCTATATAATTTTGATACATAAACTTTTCTTATCTTCATAGTACTTTCATCTTGTCTGCAAATAAATATATAGAAAGAGTTTGGTTACTTCATCTTTGAGTTCATTCACCTTATTGATTATCTTCTGGTACGTATATCACTACTAGACATGTCAACTCCATTAACTATAGTGTCATTTCTGTTCGTGTTGGGGATGATTACACGTGTGTACTTTATGTGAAAGCATATTGTGTGTAGCATACATTTTATTCTACATTCTCATTTATACCTTTCATTTTTGAATTGTTTTGTACAAGAAATCGTATACTGATTGGATGGTTACACTTTCTCCCTTTCAAGTCTAACACACAGTGTGTTTTTATCAAATGATATTTTGAAATGATGCGATTAGTGTCTGTTAGATAGCTTTGCATAACTCAACTTTTTGAACATGATACAATCTGCATCAGTTTTTATATCATGTGATTTATAATACCACAGAAAAAGAATAAAAGCAAAAGGTTTGTGGGAATTTAGTGACTTTTCAAGTTGATATTCATCATGGACTGACATAGATTAAAGGAACATTGGGAACCGGTAAGCACTGGACATCTGTTTTGTTCAACTAGTATGGGACCTCTCAGTAGTACGCACTCACGACCCTCCCAGAGATCGAACCTGCGACCTTCAGGTTCCGTGGCCAACATGTTGCCATTCGTGGGTGCGCACTACCGAAAAGTCCTATAGTAGGACGAAACAGCTGTCCAGTGCTCCCAGGTTTCCAATGTTCCTCCAGTTGATGTCAGTCCATGATGAATACCAACTTGAAAAAACAAAAGGTGTAGTAAAACGACTTGCAAGACTGTATTTGTTTGATGACCAGCTTTCAGAGGCTGCTTATAATGAGCCTGTATTTTAAGGCAACTCCTTCTAAGACTTCAGCCACTACCTCGTTGATCGCACTCTTAATAGCAAGGTCAAAGGTTATCACCGTCTAAACTGTTTTTTCAACCAAGTCTAACGTTAAGGACTTCGATCAATAAGCATATCTAAACTATCTCAGAGGATTCATTTTTGTGACTACATTTCTCAATTCTCTCCTACCTACGACTATATACTTGGGAATCGTGTGGAATGGCTAACATTTTCATCACCTGTCAGTTGACATGATTGGTTTGTCACATTCTATGTTATTGTGCATAGCTTCATCTCGTACGAATTGGTGATTACCTGTAATAAAAAACGTTTTTTACGTTGCGTGATTTGAAGGTTCTCGCAACTCTTAACTAGGACTGTACACAAAACTTTATGAGAAACAAATCCATCCTTTTTGGCATTTTACTTCTGTCAAAGACACTGATTTCGCAACTTTGAAGCATTTTTCAGTGGTTACACCATAGTCTAGCCAGTTAGCTTAAATGTTAACCATATCATTTTCATGCTTAAACTTATTTGGGTAGTTTGTAAAATCTTAATTTTCAAATAATCGAACATATTTCTTCAAGTAACAAATATTGAAACATCATTATATTATAACGTACCTTATTCAAATAACTCAGAGAAGTTCAAATATCTTTTTGTCTAATAGTATGCTGATTCCCAACATTTGTCAATCAATTTCAAAATCAGTAGTTATTAGTTGGGATATTCTGAATAGAACCTTCTTTATTATATACAATTCAACTTTAGGGTATAAAGTTTTAACTAAGGATCTTACTCAGTTCATCTAACGCATATTTTTGTTGGACAACCATTCTGACAGTTATCGACAGTAGACAAGAGTGATGCATTACATTTGTTGAAACTTTTTTGTAAGCCTTCTCTTACTTGTTATCTTCCATAGGACTCATTATTTCTCTCTGGAAGCGAACTTGTTATCTGTCTTGTAGGTAATTCATATCTGGGGCTGTCATATACAGTATACGGCATTCTTTGAACTCTTTCTTTAATCATATCGGATTTTAGGAAGGAAATTCCAAAGTTAATTAGACTCCATTTTGTTTTAAAGAAATAAGTCAATCCGGCTGATCTATTGCACACTTCCGATTCATCTTGAAGTAAACAAATTTACAACTCATTCAGTCAATATATTCAAGGTCAGTGAATAAATCTTATTTCAAAAAGATTCAATGATTGTTATGGACATTTCATTGTCAATTGCATTGAAATGTTTGCATACCATGTAGGATGGTGGTCAAACGAATTTAATTTATAATCCTTTTAAGGTTTTTCGGTCATATTGACTACTGTGTAACACCATAGTGTGACATTTTGTTTCTATTTAATGTTAATAGATGGATTTTGGAGTTTGGTTACCGTACTGTTGTTTGTACATTACATTTTATATATCCCATCTTATTGTTTTAATCTTTTGTCATAAGTAGAAAGATTCAGAGAGTTTATTGTTATGTGTGCTGAGAGGATATAATGCGCACGCTTGACTGACAGGTAACTTCGTAAGCAAAATCCTCCAAACCAGACGAAATAGGGAAGAAGATGCAACTGGATGGGAGAGTTTATTCTCCGGAGAAGAATAGTCAGCTAACCTAAAAACATGTGCGTATATATAAACATGACGTATAACCTTGTCCAAAATTTGAAATATTTACATAGTAAAAGTAAGCATTAACCAATCAGCGAGTTACCTTGAAAATGAGGCTGAAAATAAACTACTAGCCGTGTCGTAGAAAATGGCGCGTAAACGACAATTTAAAAGCGCTTAAATTAATAAACAACGTTTTATGCGAATCTGTTACCTTCCAAAGTTTATTTATGCTTTTAGTCTGTATACTTTCATCCGAAGTTTACGTAGTGTGTGCTGTATTATGTTCAGGACTTCCATTTTACAGCATTACGTTAAGTCGATAGAAATGAAATGCGTATAGTTGACAGTTCAACACAGAATTCTTTTATCGAAGTGAAATACGAATCTCGCTAGTATTTCGATCTTTGTAGCTTGTTTGGTAGTTTATCAAACTATATCCAATTGTTCTCTGCGGGCTACAACCTAGGTCCTTAACAAATGTATTCATCAATTTCATATGGATTGCTTCATTGTTGAAGTCTTTAGGAATAAATGTTAAGATGTTGGCAGATCATTTTTTGAAAACTTTTGAACAATCACTATTATTCAGCCGTAATCAATATTTATTTAACCGAATTAATCCTAAACAATGTATTTGTAATGTACTTAGCTACATTATTAGTTTGCATGAATTTCTTTTATTCTAATGACATTTCAGAAAATGCGAAATGTGACATTTCAAAATGATGACTGATAAACAAGACCAACATTCATGTGACGTCGTGATTTGACTTGTTTAATTTAGATTTGCGATTATTACAGAAGAAAATAAGTTGTTCCTTATACCTCTACTATACACTAAGCACGTGTAGTTTTGCTGTAACTGACTACTGAACTTTCAGTCAAAGAGAAGAAGATCCACTTTGTCGGATCGTATCTAGGATGCCAATGTATAAGTATGACTGACAATGTTTAAGGGATTATTCCGTTTCATCCATGTTGTGGACGAGTGGGGTTGCGGACGTGGGTATAATGATACTGAAACTCAATAGACACGTCAACTGAATAGTTTTACGACTGACCTCCATCATTACCTTCTGCTTCACTGAGCTGCGGAGAAATCAGAAGACAAAGACGGCATGTGAACCGCAAGAGCAACTACAACTTTTATTAGGCAAACACATGACATATATGTATTTACAAAACTCTCAGAAAGTGAAGCCGTAAATGAACCGATCCGATTTGTCGTATGAGGTTGGATTTCTCCAATCAGGTTCTCATGTCAACGCATGCATAAATCATGATCTGATCGTGATTTGAAAATAACTCCCCTGTTGGCTGCCTTTTGTTGCTACGTATCACCTCCCCCCGTAAAATTGTATGACTTCTTCCTGGTCTTCTTTGTCGAACTGACTTTTGAGTGGGGATGCATTAAGTGCTATCTGATGCTTCTGGCTGCGGGAGTTTAAAGGTACCCATTAAAACTCCTAGCATCAAGTTTTGCTTCTTTTTGTCGTCTATGTCGACCGCACTTAGTATCTGATTCGTGTGTCTGGTCCATATCTATCCTTCTACATTCAATTTGTATAGAACATTTCCTTTACGCCCCCTATCTGTCCATGTGTCCATCTTGGAGGTGCATAACGAAAATCACGTACGTAGACATACTGATGCAATTTGAAGACTCGACGTTTAGCTCCATGGTGACGATTATACTGACTTTCCATTTTGGTATTTCTGCAGCCTTCCTTTACTTGTTTAGGCTTGATTGCATCGAGGACGATTTTGACCTTTCGGTCAGAAATAATTTCTACTGGAGATAACCGATTTGTTGCAGATGGATTCGGTGTAGTACGACAAAGCAGCAAGAAGTTATCCAAGATTTCATCCGTCGTCCGCTCCCTCTTCGCCTTCATGAAAGCCGTTTTGAAAGTATCAACGCACCGTCCAGCTTAACCATTAGACTGAGGGTGATAAGGAGGGGTACGAATGTGCTGGATGCCGAACTGATTGCAAAAATCTGAGAATACCGACGACGTAAACTGCGATCCATTATCGGACACTGGAACATCATCTATCATGTATTTTTGACAGACAATTAATGGAATAT